ATATACAGAAAATTAAAGGTAAAAATCATAATAATAATTTTATTTATTGGAATTATTGGGGTTCAGAAGAGTACAAACAGAAAATCAAAGGTAAAAATCACAGGAATTGTTTTATTTAATGGAATTGTTGGGATTCGGAAGAGTACAAACAGAAAATCAAGGGTAAAAATCACAGGAATCATTTTATTTAATGGAATTGTTGGGATTCGGAAGAGTACAAACAGAAAATCAAAGGTAAAAATCACATGAATTGTTTTATTTAATGGAATTATTGGGGTATATACAGAAAATTAAAGGTAAAAATCAGAATAATAGTTTTATTTCATGGAATTATTGGGATTCGGAAGAGTACAAACAGAAAATCAAAGGTAAAAATCACAGGAATTGTTTTATTTCGTGGAATTATTGGGGTATATACAGAAAATTAAAGGTAAAAATTACAAGAATCATTCAAAATCATAAGAATAATTTTATTTAATTGAATTGTTGGGGTTCAGAAGAGTACAAACGGAAAATCAAAGGTAAAAATCAAAATAATCGTTTTATTTTGTGGAATTGTTGGCGTTTGGAAGAGTACAAATGGAAAATCAAAGGTAAAAATCTTTTTATTTAATAGAATTAGTGGGGTTTGGAAGAGTACAAATGGAAAAACAAAGGTAAAAATCAAAATAATCGTTTTATTTCATGGAATTGTTGGGGTTCAGAAGAGTACAAACAGAAAATTAAAGGTAAAAATAATTTTATTTAATAGAATTATTGGGGTTCGGAAGAGTACAAAGAGAAAATCAAAGGTAAAAATCAAAATAATCATTTTATTTCATGGAATTATTGGGGTTCAGAAGAGTACAGACAGAAAATTAAAGGTAAAAATAATTTTATTTAATAAAATTATTGGGGTTCAGAAGAGTACAAATAGAAAATCAAAGGTAAAAATCAAAATAATTATTCAAAATCACAATAATCATTTTATTTAATGGAATTATTGGGGAATATACAGAAAATTAAAGGTAAAAATCATAATAATCATTTTATTTATTGGAATTATTGGGGTTCAGAAGAGTACAAATAAAATCAGAAGAGTACAAATAGAAAATTAAAGGTAAAAATCAAAATAATAGTTTTATTTCATGAAATTCTTGGGGTTTGGAAGAGTACAAATGGAAAATCAAAGGTAAAAATCAAAATAATTGTTTTATTTCATGGAATTATTGGGGTTCAGAAGAGTACAAATAGAAAATCAAAGGTAAAAATCATTTTATTTAATAGAATTATTGGGTTTCGGAAGAGTACAAATAGAAAATTAAAGGTAAAAATCAAAATAATCATTCAAAATCACAATAAGCATTTTATTTAATGGAATTATTGGGGAATATACAGAAAATTAAAGGTAAAAATCAAAATAATTGTTTTATTTAATGGAATTTTTGGGGTTCGGAAGAGTACAAACAGAAAATCAAAGGTAAAAATCACAGGAATTGTTTTATTT